TTTTCCCAACCAGCATTGAGATAGGAGACAGATGAACTACAATGAACACCTCCAACGTAACTCTTTTCGGTATGGTCTTTGCGTACTTTCAATAATAGACTTCCATGAGATACGGTTTCTAAGCCGAGACAGTATAGAAAATGTTAGTTTTGTATAAATGAAGCATCTCGGTTTTTTTTTTTAACCAAAATGTTTAAAAATTTTCTTTACAAATGCTGTGCGCGATTTAAATGGATCAATATCCAGCGTTGCGGGCCTAGGTCCTGAGTAATAGAAGTAACAGGAATCATTGCACTAAATTTGTAGTCGAGATCAAGCGCTTGACTTTTCAGCGGCAGACATTTTTGACTAAGATGGCACGCCATCAAAAAAGGAAAAAAGACCAAAAACCTCATAGGATTCGAGTAGCTTTTTCCACGCTAAACCTGAAGACGCATAGTAATTCTTGAATGTACAGGTGTACAACATGAAAGCTTCATAATGCTTCGTTTACATTTTGCATGTTGGGTCTAATAGAAAAAAAAAGCCGTTCTTACGCCATTGAAACGTATTTCTATAGTACCCCATTTAATATCTGGAAAAGTGGACTCGTAATTACGCTCAGTGACAAAAAACAGGAGGTCTATTTTTACGACGACCAAACGCAAGCTTGTACTGGCTATACACCATGGACGTAATTTTTGGTAAAAAAAAAATTATGAAACCTGTTTAAAAATTGATTTTCTTCTCTCACGAAAACGCACACGTTAGCACACTTGTGCAGTAACTTAGGTTGCTCTCAAGTGACCGTTAGAGCGGTTAGAGTCGTGACATTCGCCATATGCGGATGATACTGAAATTGGACCTTCTAGTTCGGACTTATCAATTATCACGATGCCGCTGTTACTAATTGCTGAATTTCGTGAATAAAAGGCTCGAAAAGTAGGTAACTACACACAAAATGTGTATGTGCGTGTGCCTGTATAGGCCTGCCTGTCTGTCTGTCTGTCTGTCAAAGCGAGAGTGAAAGAACGACCGTCCCCTTTTAGTTTCACCCTTTACGATGCCGACGGAATTACGTATAAACTACGTGAAAGGATATAAATATTCAATTGCTAGCAGCATAAGGCCAAGAGTAAATTTTCGTTCTCTTTTTTAAATGAATATTCTTTATGAAATACCGAGCTATGGCGGTATGCTCACTTTTTCTGGTCGCGTTTCTATGTTGCTCTACTTGTTTGAATGGAGAGATAACGGCGAAGTTACGACGTGCGTCTTCTATGCACATCCGCAAGTAATGTTGAACTTATCGTTACATAGTAAATTCGGCTCATGTATTTTCATTATCATTATACGCATAAATGCTCCACTTACGTTCCGTTTGCATTTCCTTCGAGTGTTATTGCTAACTGACTTCTATTTTGACATTAATGCGTTCCGCTGATCAAGTGTTTCGCTGATCAAGTGTTTTGCTGACGAATAAAATGAAATCGGCTTGTAATTAGTTTGATTCGATCGTTTATCTTCAACTATGCTTACAGGATATAACAAATGACAAAGCACACGAGTTAGTTGTGCTTTTCGCAGCCGCCGATGGCTAATCTTCGATCGTTTTTCCTATTGGGTTTGCAACACAAACGTTACCCTATTTTTATCCGTGAAACTAACTAAGTTCAAAATCGCGCCCCAATCGCACCTTCACTAACTTAGCAACTGTAAAGATTATTTCTATAAATCCCGATGTTTTCTTATGCACCGAAACGTTAATGATGTTAGATTTTATCATTATTCTAATTTATTTAATCATAGCAAAAACGGCCACTGGTTAGCTGCATGAAGCAATACCATAAAGTGTCTACTCAGTGTGGCATTCTGCTTAGGACAATCGTCGTTGCTCTAGGATTAAACCGAAAACAGCGACAACATGACGCTTCTATACATTGAAAGACGTTAGCAATAGCAATAGCAGCAACGTGTTGGTAACTGATTGCTATGGGCGCGCACACGCACACGCAAACGCATGCACAAAAGTGCACATACGCGACGTCGCTACAAGAGGCAGTCAAAGGGTCCTCAAAATGATACGAATTTCGTGAATAATAACGCGGTTAGTAGTTTGGATCGTGTTATGCTTGTTTCAATGAGTAACCTACTTGAACGATTGGTAATTCAAGGGGCCCAGCTCGCTTATGTTAAACAGTCACAGTTTTCGAAAATGCAGGGTTTTATTATAGATTTGCCGATGTTTTCTTAACCCAAATACGCCACTCATCCGCTACTACGAAAATGCACAGAGCTATTCTCTTAACTAGGGAAAGTGGAATGATATTTGCCATGTATTGTAGGAACTGTCGTTTACGTTCTAGCTGGATAAGGTTTCACCAGCATTTCGACTGATTTAAGTGCCGTCCAGCAGCAAGAGTCAGCAGGATATGAAAGTTCTGTTTATTTCTCTTTTTCTTATAAACCAAGCTTACTATAAGACGAGCAGATGCAATCACAGTGTCATATAGCAATACGCAATGGCGCTACAATTTTGTAGTTTAAGTACTATATACATAGCTATCAAATTATGTTATGTCCTAATATAAGGTGGCCAGTAGTTTTGCTGGAGCAAACAAAAGTGTTCCAACAAGCTCGTTTTTGGCATGTTGCGGACTAATTTGCTAAGTTTATGAAAAATTATAAACTTTTTATTGAATTCAGGATACTGGCTGTAGCGAGATGCTCGTTTGACAGGAGGAACAATACGTTGCTTACGTCAGTCTGATACACCTAAGTGTTAGATGGTTACTCAGCGTGTACGGGCAGTCTTACTAATGCTGATGAATAATTCGCCGCATTAACGCGCTTATCTGTTAATAATTCACCTATCTAACCTCTGCACTTCGCACCCAGGGTGGCTTCACCCAGTTCTTCAGAAATGTCGTGCTCTTCTTTTCATCGCCGGCCTGACACTCGTCCAGCAGAAAAACGGCGTTTCCTTCTTATGTTGCCACCACCTTCTTGATCTGAAGTGGGCTTATTGCAGTTCCTATTCTGTCGTCAAAAGCGGTATGTACTGCGTTGCGCCTTTTCAATTCCAGTGCCAAGCCAGTTCTGAAGCGTCTGGGACGAGGACGATGACGCCGAGAATCTCTTTCGAGGCAAAACGCTTTTTTTCGTTTATTCTGCTAGAGTCTTGTCCAATAGAGCCGCCGTATGATTCTTCATCGGTCTGCCATTGATGTCGCGGACAGAGATACTCAAAACCTAAGATCCGAGCTCTCCCTGTACTTACTGCCTTTATGCCGACGATCTTACAGGCGTCTCAATAGTACGAAGCAGTGTAAAGCCACGCTAGACGCAAAGTATCAAGGAGTTCGATAGACGCAGGCGCGAGGCCGAGCCATTCGTATAAGAATAACTGTAAAGGTGACGAGTCTAAAGTGCTAAAGTGTCTCCATCGGGTAGTGGTTTTCTTCGACGGTCTTTAGTGAGAACGACGGTCTTGGGTGAAGTATGTTTAAGTCTTCCGAAGTGACGACCACCGTAGTGGGTATTTTCACAGGGTTTATCTTGAAATGAGAATAAGCAAGATGATTAAATTGAACTCGCCCAGCACACTTCAGATACTTTTTGTAGTTAATTGGACCTGAAGTGTCTTTTGAATCATCAACTACAACACGTTGAAGTGAGCCCTTCGCAAAGACGTTTTATCCCCCCAACTTACTGCTGTTTTAGTGTCCTACAGCCTTTGGGAATTCTGCTTTTTAATAATGGTGGAAATAAGTAATGATTAAAAAAATACAACAAAAGTGATTGCCGTACCTAGAAAAAAATGTACTACACAGCTGTTACAAAAGGTCTATGAACTATATTTATCAATAGGGGATAAATAATAAGTTTGCATATAACAAGAAAAAAACGTCCTTACAGCTTCTCTTAGTCATTTATCATTCAAAATTTTAAATTTTCATTTTATTTTATTTGGAAGTGTTAATACTTATTGACTACAGGAAACTGACGTGACTTCGTGTCTTCAAATACCAATGCTCTTTACGTAATCTCATCTACCGATAATATCATATAATCATTTTCTCTATTTACACGCACACACATATGTGCGTAAGATTTTTTTGCGTGATAACCTTAAAAATGGCAGGAAAATGCAATTATCTTTGGTGGGTAAATCTGGCCTTTTGGAAAAGATCATCATTAAAAAAATTGTTTTCATGCAAACAGTGCTCAAACATATCGTAGAATCTTTACGATAATTTATGACATGTCCGTGTACTTCGGAAGCTGCGGAGCAACGAAACAAATTAAGGCGCTCTAAGTTTCTGAAAGTGGGTGCGTGCGATTCTGTTCGTACCAGAGAGTACCACACAGAGTACTAAGCCTATGCGTTTAAATTGCCAAGGTTTCATTTGCTCAGAAATGTCACTTAGATTAGTTCAAGGACGAACAGTGACGTATCCGATCCCTGTAAGGAGCGTAACCCAATGAATATCATCTCTAGCTGTGCTCTCCTTGCTATTCTAAAAAATACTGTGTTCCCGCAACAAGAAAAGGCAAACGAACACGGATGTTTTTAGATAAAAAAAGTAGTGGCCAAAGGCTTATATGTGTTTTGACCGAATTGAATATATCTACTTATTTATTATCGAATCAGAGAGTAATTCAATTAGCTGTCTTAAACTTAAATTGATTATCTGGATCGATTCTCCGCTTTTCTGGATTAAGATAATTCTCTAAAATAATTCTATAATTTTCGTTGTAACGTTTTATATACGTAATATTTTCGCGAATCAAGTTGTTGTTAAATACTTTCTAACATCTAAGTTCGTGAAACGTGAAAATCGGTGAATTTTAGCTAGAAATTGGACCAGGCCTTGTGTTGTAAATACAACACAATGCTACTTTGCTACTTGAGAGCTCGAACTTAGTTAATCTTTCTCAGCCTGTATTAGAATGAATGTAAAAAGATAAATGATCACGTTTAATTGTTAATAAGTTATCAAAAGATAGCAAAAAAAAAGTACAAAAGCATTATTTATTTCAGACATAGTTCTCTCTCAACAACAGCGATGAACGGTTATTGTACAATGCGCATGAGTCAATTATATACAAAGTTGTAGCACTTATGAGAAGGCGTTACGGTACTATCTGCATCCACAAGTGTTATTCCTAATCAGACATGAAGAACCAGTACGGGGAATTTTTGCGACGTTTCGTTTTTGAAAAGCGTCATTTTAATCTCTACTAAAGACATGCACTTTTTTATCCCTTTTATAAACTACCGATCCCGTCCGTTGCTCATTCAATATTGGTAACAGTGCCAATGCATCATATTTACAATAAAGCGTGGTTGCGGTGAACGTACTGTCCATACCGTTAGTCAACTTGTATTGATTAGCCGGTGACATCATATTGATAAGTTCTGAGTAGAAATGCGGATATATTGGTAGTTCATAGAATATTATATGGCGCACACCCTTTATTGTATACCGGTGAAAAAAGTGAAATCGCTCCGTATAGAGGAGGAACTTACGTTTTCCATGGAAGAACATATAGCGAGCTTTGGCCACCTTTCCATCTTCAGTATACTCGCAAATTTGCGAAAACTTGAAGCCGGGATCGCGATCGGCTAAATCGCGCATATAATTTCTTAACCGAACGAAATCGAAATATTGCCTCACATATATCATACAGTGTGATACGAGTTTGTCCTTCCTCAACTGTGGAAGGATCTCGTTAATGAAGAATTCAAAACGCGAATCACTTGTGACGCCTGCTGAAGCCGGTTCGAACGATCGGAAAATATGCGGAATCTGAACAACTACCTGAGCGATGACTGACGTTCCCACTGGATTGCACACTGACACCAACCCACGATAGTTAAAGTTGTATCGCTTCATTAGAGCGTTGATTTGAGGATGTTGCACTTGGGAAATTACTATATTCTGTCGGAAATATTTTCCCCATTCACTTACGCACCAGATTCGCACCCGAGAAAAGTCTACGCCATGCGGTTTTCGTGGTTTGATGTTAAGATGCTTGAAAAGGTCAACGACATGCTCCCAATTTTGCATGAAGAATACATCAGTTTGGTCTAGTACCACGATTTCAATTGAAGAAAGAAAATCGTAATCACGTTTTTCGTCACCTTCCGAACCAATAATTGCCCTAAGTCCTACTGGTGAGGCAATGATTAAATCAGCGGAATAAAAATTTGCATACAACTGCACACGACGCTTTGTAAAGCGTAGGCCGATACGAAACATGTCGTCATTATCACCGTCGAAAAATTTATAGAAATCATCAGGTTTGTTGCCACGTCTGCTGTCATTGTCATCAGGCGGCCGGAATTCTTCTTCAAAACGATTCTCGTTCAATATTTGCAGCTTAATCTCTCTAACCATTTTCAGAATAAGCTTAATCACCCGGTAGGCGGCGTTTTTAAACGGCAGTACGATTAAAGCCTTAACCCTAGTCAAACCCTGATCCTGATACTCAATAGCTCCATCTGACCTTCGAATTTTCGTACTGTGCTTGACAGTTCGAGCTCTACTTCGAAGTACATGATTCATGACATGAAGAGTATAGCAAAGTCTTAATGATTCTGCTTTTTCCCATCTATGTTCCGGGTAATAAAAATCACGATATGAATTAAGAACATTTAGAACCGATTCCTCATAAGCGTCCAATGTCATCTTCACGTTGGCCTCACCTTTAAAACTAGAGTAAACATCTAACACATCTTCCAGATTGTCTGCTAGTACTTTTTTGAGGCTAATTTTGGTGTTTTGTTTAAAAGCTATTTCTGGCGCATTTTTTGAATTTTTCTGAGGAGGCTGTATTTTTACCACGCCTAACTGAGGCCACTGTTGAAGACTACCAGGCTGAAGACTGTAGGGCTCAGGCGGAAAATATTTTTCGTCAGGTATCCACTCAAGATGAGAAATATAGTTCGTGCAACCCTCCTCTTCATCGCTAGATGATTCGCCATCCAACTCATTATCATTTTCGGCTTCTGCGTCCTCATCTGAGGTGTGCTCACGATCACCTGAAAATACACCATTAGAGAAGACCTTTCACATATTTATATAAAGTATACCAGGAACGCAAACATACATTTATAAGCACGCAAACAAGATGTAATAATTTCGTCGATGCTGATTGATCATGCTGCAGTTCCCCACTATAGACTTCCAAGTATTATTTTTAACAATATAGACTGGTACGCTTAATTTTATTAGGATATTCAACGTTGCGCTTCGAACATCTTCTTTTCTCGATATAAGCTTGTGTTGTTACGAGGCCCTCCAAGCTCTGAAAATGCCAAGTGGTAAGTAAACACACACACTACAATCGCTTTTTTTTGAGAAGCCATGACTAGACAATTTATATACAAGAACGCGAATGCTAAATATACTGCTATCTAGAAGGCGCCATGGCACTAGGACAAGTATGAAAAAATGAAGGAGAGTACCTCTAACAAATATTTGGAAATTTGTATTCTAGTTCAAACATTATTCCATATCAGAGTCGGCTGAATTTTGTCGTAACAGCTTAATAGTTCGTAGACATGAGCAATTTCCAACTTTCCTGATTCAATAAAAGGCCCACAAGGAGAGCTTGGTTTCCCCAAAACAACGCCCACGTCACAATACCTGTTACTATTTAAGGTCATCATCATTAAAGTCAAAAAAGCTCTATAAGGCACTTTGCGATATTAATTAGCAGATTAAACTATGCACAAAGTAATTTTAGATGCTTTTTATAAAATATAGATTTTACCTGCGTCATTGATGTCTCCCCTGTGGTCCTTCGCCTCTGCTCCATTAGCCTTACTCGTCATCGCTCCCATCTCATAACTAGCTTTGCCGTAACCAGAATGATTCTCGTCCTCCTTTCTGGAAACATAATTTACAGAGGCCTCTATAGTGAAAAATGTGGAGTATTAAGTGGTGGCCTTCGGGCCATTTTTACCTATCAAAACGCAGCGTTTCAGTCAAGCTCTAGCAAAGAATTATGTATCTGCCGTCACTTTTGACAACCTTCTTTCATTTCTCAGCCAATTTACTTATTCCTTCTTTCTCTTTTCAGAAAGTTCCGGTAGTGATGGCGTTAGAAGTCTTCATTCAGCTTTGCTCGTGATTAAAAAAATGCAGTAGTCTATCGCCGCAGTGCCTGGAGAAAATGGTGTGTGCAAAAGAACCTTTTACTCAGACTTTTGCAAGGCGGCGTTCATACTATTTGATATGTGCAGCCTAGCATCGTCTCATATCTCGGGTTTTTTAAATAGCCTCGTGTAGGCGATACAGGTGCGTCATATACAGATCTTTCTTGACCTATTTGTTCTTCTCGAGCATTTCCAGTGTGTGAAACTCTTCCAGTCTCACTAAACACGAAGCATGGTCTCTTTGGAATAAAGATCTGGCTTGACCGTGGGGACGGGGAGACACCACATCTCATCATGGATGACAATTCTGCGCGGAAATTTGTCATTATGGTTGGACGTTTCTCAATGGCACCCGAGATGTCAAAAGGCTACAGGGAATCGTACTTTTTGTGCCGTTTATTCAATTCGTGGTGTTTTTAGGCTCTTAATTGTTGAGTAAGTACCATAGATAGAAAACGCCCGTAAGTAGTTATATGACTACAGTCATATAGCTATTAACGGGCCCGATTCAGTAGCCCGATTCACAAGTTGCTTGGTGACCGTCCTCTTTAAGAAGTGCCCTCAGACAGTCGTCAACGCCAGTCAGATGACCGATCAGATTAGGGTGCACCTTCATGGTGAAAGTGCGATTATTAAGCAAACCATTTCCGAGTGGTCCCCTCAAGCACGGAGTACATACCATACACGGCATATATATATGTCATGCTGCTTCGCCAGCTTCTTGACTTCGGTAATAATCCAAATAGAACAGGTGTTGTCGTATTCTTTTTTTACCTGAAACCTCTCTCTTCAATCTGAACTGGTCGTAAAATTTTGTTCACTGCACAGTGAAATCACAACGAAGGCGAGGTAATATTTTCGAAGGATATACAAAACAAATTAACAGAAAAGTGGTAAAAAGCACACGTCACATTAAAAAACGTCCTTATAACCTAATATCTTTATATGCGCGGAAACTTGCGAGCCTAATTGGCCATATTTAATTGAAAATTATAGAAAGACTTACTCATCACTATCTGTTTCTTGATCGTCCTCTTCTGCCTTTTCATCAGCACTTTCGTCCTCTGCAGATTCATTCTAAAATGCGATGGTTGAATGCAGTACAATTATCAAGAAAAGCGAAATATGATATAACCTAAATATATATGACCTATATGTGACCTAAATTGTACAGTGGATACGCATCTCGCAAAGTTGAACTTGCAATACGCGATTAAACAATTTGATAAAATGTATCAGGTCGTTCAATATTTTTGTTTTCTGTTTAATAATTTCTTTACTTAATGAAACCATAAGCGAAACGATTGGAATACTTTTCTGTTGCGGCTTTTACTGTTATAACTGTTACTCTGTGAGCAGTGGATTATTGAGCTCGTGCTTAAATTAGTTTAGTTTACTGTTAAATTTTTACGTATTTAGACTTACATTTCAAGCGTAGTATACGTATGCTATATATAACAGATTACAGCAGATACTACATCAACCTATAAATTACGAAGGAAGAATTTAACAGATTCATTTTACATTTTCAGAAACTTTAAGAGTGTGGTTAATTTAACTAGCTCATAATCTAGACGCTCAATTTTTTATTAAAACAGTTAATCTGTGAAATTTAAAGTAAACTTCCAACCTGGTAATTGGTCGAGTGCTCATCACCATTGTCACTATCACCTTCGTCATCTTCGTCGCTATTAAGAAACGAATGTTTACTGTTCTGAGCTCTTAATTTACCAGTCAGTTCATTTAGGAGATCACAAAAAGCGTCCTCCCTTTCACATTCGGACGGCGACGTTTCATTCTCACTTGAATTAGAGCTCGTGTCTGTTGCCTGAATCAATCGAACAAGGTGAAAAAAAGTATGTTATTATATTACACCAATACTTACTTCAAACAGCCTACGTTGTTAAATAGATACATTTTCAGAAAAACAAAAGATGCTTTCAAGCATTGTTTTCACAAGGTGTTAAATGGCCATCAGCAATAAAACTCAAATAATATGCTGCCATACCTCTATATATATACAGGTATGGCAACATATTATATATCTAGACTAAAAAATTCACATAAAAAAAACGGAGAATATTTTAAAATATATCTTTTACGGAAGTGTGTACTAAATTCTGGTGCCACCTCATGTGTAGCGATGCGATCATTGTCTGCTGCCACATCGTTAACTACGTGCACGTTTCCGTCTTCCGCATCATATGTATCTATGACATGATCTTCTTCCATCTTATCGAACCGACGTCTCTTTGAGAGCCCTCTGTGATTACTTCCAATTCCCCTCCTTCGCCCTCCTCGACTATAACCTCCACCATAGTGACGATGGTGAAAGCCACCTTCTCCACGACCCTCTCGTCGACTACGACTCATGCTGACATAAAGAAACAACACACTATGTTCTTTTATTTCGATGTTTCAATTTACGTTGAAATGTGCCAAATATGTCTACGTTCATGCGTAATACATACAATAATGTTGCTGCATACTCATGAATGATATTGCAATTTATTTCATTATCATATCAATGCTTATAAAAATTTTCCATTAAACCTAATAACACTTCTTGTATACCTACCCCTACCATGCTCGGTTAAGATAACCGACCCTTGAAAAAGTTTCCATCAACCGTAAGTTTTCGATGTGGTCACATTAAAATACATGAATCTCTAAAAAGATTTTACAAATGGTCAAATTAATATATAGTGGTAAGTTTATTATTTGTTTGCAAAGATTGAAACGGTAGACCATATCTGAAGAAACACAACTGCTACGGATACGTCGATATTAATACCCGAAATAAATTAAACAAAATACTACAGAATAAACTTCAAAAAGGATGCTTACCTTATTCATCAAGAGCACAAGCAATCCTATAGTTGCCGGGAAGACACAAATTATATAAGTTTTTTTTCTTTAAATCAACAAGATCAACATAGAGTAGTTACTTAGCCACTCTGAGGTGTATCCACATTAATGAACTGGAAGTTTAATAATACGAGAATATGACGAACAAATAAGGAGCCTGTTTCCCTAATATCTTCAGGAGAACAATCGAACGCACGTGCGATTTATTGACAAATAGAACGAATTCGAAGTATGCCAGCGGGTTTGTGGGACGAGAGATGGCCGTATTTCGAAACGTGAGGTTGATAAAATCCAACGGTAGTTGTCTACCGGCGTTTTGTATTGTTAGAGTGGCCACATAGATACGGTTAGTTTAATAATAAAAAGCTGGCTGGTTCGTAGAGGTCTCAATAGGAAACAGACGAGCCGTAGTTAGCATTACCATTTAACTGCATCATTGGTGAAAAAGTTGGTCTAAAAAAATTGAAAATATGGTTCACTAATCTTGATTTCTGAGGCAGCACTTAGGTCCACATGTCACAGCCAACTTCCCAGGTAATTGTTTGGTTGAGGGTAGTTGATGTGAACCCCTTTTTTCTAGTTATTGAATGTCTCTTAACTAGCCGAAGCTGCGATTATTTTGAAAGTATCGAGATATCGCTTCATAATTTGCGCTAGGTTGTGTTTCCAGCTTATCGAATTTTATGCTATATGTTATAATATAAAAAAAAAAGTACTGTCAGTTAAAAAAATATGCGTCATTACTTTCATTAAATGAAACGTCGCCTTTTCAAAGCACTCGGTTGTTTTTATTTCAAAAAGTTACTTACAAACACACGTTGTCCGAATCATTATAGTCCAACCATAAAATCGGCAATACCATTTAGTACTAGAACCTGCTTAAGTATTACACCTTATGGTATTAGGTGTTCAGCCAGCTTAAATAATAATAGTAGTTTTGAATACACTTGATCTATTCCTGACTTGGCTTCGCAGTGTTCTTTTAAAGTTGTATTAATTACAGCTTCTAGTTTTTTAGGCGTTCTAAGAGTTTCTATCGTTTTTACTCAGCTTGAAATAATTTGTAGAAAACGTACAGTGCATTTATGACGAGGTAAGATTACTGTTTGCATAGCTTGTCAAGTTCTAATAAAATATAGGAAAAGTTTTCACTGAATTCAAGCATTCGCAAAAACCGCAGAATTGGAAGGGGCAGCTACAGTGGTCAGATCGTACGCTTGAGTAGTGGCCAGGGTCGAGATCGAAGTTGCGGTTTGGGCAATGGCCAGCTCCGTATCTCTACAGCGAAGCACAGCCGAACCTATATCAGCTGCGATTCTTATTTGAGCTACAAAATGACGTCCAAGCTCACTGGCAGTATCCCGATCGTACAGGTCACTATTCAAGAACATATTAGCAAGCGATGAACGAAAGCGTTCTATTCTTATGGGAAGTGCTAACAGATTGAAGGCAGCATCACGTAGAATGATGAGATCATCAAACGAGAGTTCTGACAGTGGTTTCATTACTACAGTCGGAATAGCCGTCAATACTTGCACAGTGTCCGTGTAGATCATCTCCATTTCAAGCATCACCGGACCCGTTGCGGGGTGTTTCTGAAGAACATTGACAATGTAGTTCATCTCATCGCGCATTTCCCTCATTTCGTGTCCGTCACCTACACGCTGCACGCATGCTGCCATTGTCCTGACTCTACGGGGCACAAGCGACAACAATTGGGATACTCTAAAGGATGATCCCAAGCCGTAAAACATTCCGACTTGCCCTTCCTCAGTAACTGAGTAAGCTTCATGGCCTTGCTCAGCACAATAGCTTCGTTGTGCGGTAAATGCTAAAGTGACAATCAATATCGTGTACACATTCATGTTTCTCAATTGATTCTGAATCACTGTTGAGAAAGAACTTCGCTCGCTTAATAACTTTCGGTTTTGTTTGTAAGCGAAAGTACTTGGCAAACTCTTGGGTTTACTTTCGGGTTGATTTCAAATTGGAGTCTGCTAACTTTTACTGTAGATGCACTAGGCAGATCAGCGATGTTCGATGTGACTGTTGCTTGGTGGTTAGCAGCTTTTAAACGGTATTACCAAGCATGATAACCTTGACAGCATTATGCATGAATGCACATGCAATCTCCACATGCCAAAAATAAACGCGGTGTTTTAATCGTATTGGGACACAAATAAAACAGTAGAATGGTTCTCCCGTAGGCATTTATGACAGTAGAATAATTCTCACGCGAGGATATTACGGAAGCGATGAAGGTCCGTTGATACGGCCAAGATACTGCCTTCAGATCTAACTACCATTAGTAACTACAAACTGTTCCCTGCGTCCTGCCAGTCCTGAGCCACAAGTTTAATCATTAGGTCGTTACGTGTTCGTCATGTGAGAGACATACATATCCCTGTCGTTAAGCGTGGCATGCTAATAGTTCGCCAGAAATTGTGTCCTTAAAGTAAAACAGTGTTAGATCAAATCATGTCATCAGATCTGCCTGTGTCGGCTAAAAATTATTCATTACAATCCGGTGTGCCGGAAACATATCGAGGTTACTCTAAAAATGGGTCAACTTGTGCCTCAGATTGAGATAAAATGAATCGTTTTCCTAAGTTATGTTCTACAAAACTGTTTCGGGTGTTTTGCTTGAGAAATTTAAGTGCTATGCTGTTATCATAGTATGATGTATATATATATATACAAGATGAGGCAAAGGTCTCTGGATAACTGGAGAGTTTTTAACATTTTTTATAGTAGCAAACAACACACAAATTGTAAAAAGCAGATGCACCTGTGCGACACACTTGTAACAGGTGCACCCCAACAATATTTTGATATTCCTGTAATATTAAGCTATAAGCATAGTACACATCGCATGATAGTGGCATATGTTAAAAGTATAACTGACTAGCGTTAGAGCGTATAACCCGATGAACCCACAGTTGCTTCCTTGTATCTTTTGAAAATGCCGCGTATGTGCCCGCGCATCTCTTAAGCTGAATATCTTCGTTCCCGCCAGATTCGGGTCTGCAAACCAAGCACAATAATAAACTTCTCGCCCGTCATAACACGTTCTCTGGATACAGATTAGCGTCAAATAGGTTAAGTGTAATGCATCGAAATGCTCGGTCTCTTATTTTAACGGAGCTCGAAAAAGTAGTCGGCTACACTTAAACTGTGCAATCCTTATAAGTCAATAAAGCCTTTTAAATGGTTACACTAGTTAATATTAGCTGTTGCATTTTAGGCACGTGCTAACTCCTGCCATTGTAAATAGGATTCTAAGAATACAGAAGTAGCAATTTAGAAATAACATTATGATGTTCCTGTCACAGAAGTGCTCCACAATTAAGCCCGTTTTTTATTAGAATTATTTGCATATCTCCGCTTATTTGCTGATTACATTACATGCCGGTGTTAAATGAAAGACAAGGGTTTTTATTTTCGTTAACTTCCGTTAACGTTCCGTTTAACTGTCAACAGACAAGAGGTTTTTAGCTTACTATATATGTATATATATACAGTAAGCTAAGATGGAAACGGACGCATATATATAAGGAAGTAAACTGGCTTAATTCTGAGCAGAAGCAAGCGATTTCCCTGGTTTACACTCATATAGCCATAGAGGTGCATTTTATCGTAAATTCATAGTATAATATTTGTTACAGCTTTGTCACATTTATACAGCGGAATACTCCCCTCTATGGCCGGGCATCTGTTACTGGCCAATGGGTCTATTTTCTACCTTGCGCGGCCCAAATCTTCTTGTAATCTTCTTACACAGATGTCAGGAAAATTTAGTTATTTCTAAAGCCGACCAGCGTATGGCACAATTATTGCCATTCCATGTCGTCGAGGGTCTTGCACGAGTCCGCGGCAACAGGTTCACACAACCGCGTCTCCTGTCATCCTGAAGGGCATTGTGCTATCAACACAGTAGAAGTAGTAACCAAAGTGTTCTCGCTGCCCAAAAGGGTTGACGCTTATCTTCTTTCAGCGGCAGATTCCTCGATCGTTTACGACGGATTAGAAGAAGAAAGGGACTTTTCTAACTTTCTTCTGTAAGCTGGTACACGTGACATTCACCTACGTAGGCATGTACTTATTATCACCTCTTATCGACAACTGGCTAGTGGATCCGCGTTGATCAACGCACTAAAAATGATATCTTTGATGACGGCTATATGAGTTGACAAATTCACAGCACGGCCTTTGGCTTCGCAGTGTGGATGCAACTGGTGCCTGATACTATAGTACGCCTTGTTTTGAGGGTATGCCTGCGAACGCTGAGCTTTGGTGTGCCATTTTTCAAAACAACAACAGTAACCAGTAGTCTCTTGTTGGTGGGTGTACAGAAGTTAGGTTTCTCCAGTACATAATTTTATACCAGTCAAACTTGCTTGGTGCAAGATTTGACTTCGGCCGCTGTGATCCCAGATCATCTAGCGGTTGTCGTTTAACGTACACAAATGTATATGAAAAAAAAGCTCCGTTTCAAAATATAAAAATAAATAATACATGTGCTCTGAAAGTTCATGTTTGACCCTAATGCCGTTGTGCTACCTTAAAGGATATAAAACATAGCTTTTAGCACTATTGTAACTTATGACTGTATATTCTATATATCTATTTACGTCTGAGATGTTCATTTGAAACATTAGCTCAGCCAAAGCATCAGATAATTTCATAAAAATATTGAACAAAAAAAACAGACACAGTTATCATATTTTACGTCTGTAACAAGTATTAACCCTATTAGATGACAGGCACCCATGAGCGTACGGTACACAGTAAGTTATTAAACAGTATTTCTTGACTTCGAAATGGCGTGCTTTGAGAGCCCGAAGTGTAAACTATATTATATCAATAGACGAAATAGGATTAAAATTGGCCAGTTATCTCGAGCGATCAGACTCGGGTGACAAGGTGTTCGTAATATAATATGCTAATAAAAACATAGATAATATTTTGAAACAGATTAACTTACAGTTTAGTTTTTATTATTATACGATCGTTTATACCAAAAAATGCCATCTTAATTAGGTTAAAGGACTGCATATACATTCTGAAACGAAAATAATACAATAATCAGCGCACACAGAAAACCTTTATTCAATATAGGAACTAGCCTTCATTGAAGCGTCTTTAAAGTTTTTTCAGATCGCCGACATACTTATAAAATCAAGCTAACTACTCACATTATATTTAGTGATATATTATCTAATGCTAACAGAATATACCGAGGAAAAATGCCTCATAAACGGACAGACGTGACTGAAATTTTGTCGACACTACTAGTCGTTAAAATAATCTCATTTAGCTTCCAAATAATTGTTCGGTTCTACTTATGAAAGCTACCTACTGAGGTCATCATGAAACGAGGTTTCTTTAACTTAGCCAACCACATTGACTAGTATTGATCCTATTACAAGCAACTCTACTTCAATCATTCAGGATTTCGTTTCATAACGTGTTGACCAAAGGGGCGAAATTCTCCTAAGAGTTTGAAGGTCTTCGTTTCATCTAAATTGTCAAGAAAGTGAAATAAATATAAGAGTATAGACAAATGTTAAATAAAGACTCTCACAACGTCAAGTGGCCTTGGCCCATCTTGTCTCTCTCTCTCTCTCTCTATATATATATATGTATATATATATATATATATATAAACAACGCAATTGATGTAGACGTCTGCCACGATAGGGAAACAACCAAACCACTGCATGCCGGCAGTGCTTTCCAATTTTTTCACACTCTCTGCACCCGGTGTAATAAGCCTGTAAATTACAATCATAAACTAAGTGAGTTATTAAAATCTTGAAGCCAGTCCAAGAAGACGAAATATGTTGTGATAGATCACTCTTAATATCTTTTAGACTGATACTCCTCATGGTCGCTGATATGCTAACGTTAAATAAATGGCTTCAAACTTCAAATGGCGCATGCTATCCATTTCACTAGAATAAATGGCTTCCATTACAAGCGATCCCTATTCTGCTGCTCCACCGTGTTAACGTTTGGCTTGTGAGGTTGCATTTTTTCAGACACTTCTTCTAACCTCGCATCTGCCTGTGCTCTTAAGCCTGCGTAATGCAATGTCCCTGTAATTAAATAGTTTTCTCATTCTGCGCACATTTTCCGCCCTAGGTTTTTCCTAGGAAGAAGCTTTATTAGAACTAACGCCCGTAGATAAAAATATAAAAATATACGTTCTCATTTCAGCGCAGCCTCATATGCCGGCAAATATGGATATCAAACGGCATAATATTGCACAGGAAGCCAGCATATTGATATAAATATTATTACTACATACAATATATGTCGTTTATACAAAGGCCGCAAGATGCAAGCGTCAAACTTATGCACATCGGCGTCACGTGTCCACTTTTGGCGCCATGTTTTGTCGGTGAGTAGCGCTGTCTGTTTGGATGGCATCATATTAAACCTCGCTTGCTTCGCATTCTCAAGCACTTGCCATTGATAGACGCGCTGTTTTAACAGCCGTGCTAATTTTCATAGTAGTTGATATGCATGAACCTGTCTACAGTCATCATCTAGTAAGTGTTTTTCGAATTTTGACCACATATTTTGACTTTGTTCAAAGCGATTTTGGATAATCGCGCATCTATATACCACGTCCCGTTTCAAGTAATGGCCTGGACAAAAAAATGATCGAATTCAACGAATGAAAATTATCGAAAAAAATGCCGTGTCTCAAATTTTGCATTTTTTGCGCTGTTGAAAAGCAAAAGATGTCCTTGGAATCATACAGTTTGTTCACTTGTCATCGACTTAACATGCTGCATGCGTATTTTATCATTCGTTGCCATTGTATCATTCCAAAAGCGGCGAGAAGGGGGGGTTGAAGGTCATTTCAAAATGGAAGCTCTCGAAACGGTGAAAACGTGATTTTCCGTCGATTGTTACGGACTAGTTTCTCGAGATCTTGACAGCTTCGTTCTGACAACGGATTATTTTCCAGGTGGATCTCGCAGTCAGCATGTAGATTTCTCAGCAACTCAGTTTCGATATCTGAAAAACCAATAGAATGAAAACGATTTGCTTTACGAATTAATCTGAGCCAAACACGCAAAACAAACAGAAAACAAACATTTGGTTTTTTCATACAGTAAACATAGACGAGAGAGGACTGTTGGTAGACAAACCCTATAACAGCAGTGACAAACTTCCAGGCAACTACAATGCAGAATCGCACACTAGGGCGTTTATATTGACATGGCCCCTGTTGAGATCTATATATAGAACCTTTTTAGTCCTGTCCGTCCAAGCAGTGCACGGAGTACGCCCTTGGAAAAAGCTATAATCAGGAAGAGTTGCCTATGGAAAAAAACATCGAATGTAGCCAAGAGGATAAGCTAGAGTCACCTGGTTGCTTAAGTTGTTCTCTGAAAGATAAGCGCATCGGACGAATGTCTTTGGCCGATAAAATATGTATACACGTCCGAGGGCCAATGGCCCAGGATCAAAGGCAAATCGAAGACGACAAAAAAACGCTGGCGGGCCTACTGCGTTCTCTTTTTAGTGCTTTTAACAAAAGGAAATGTTTGAGTACTATGAACATACGATAAGAAGTGCTCTTAGATCAATAAATGAATATGTACCAAGACGATAACCATACACTGAACACGTGTGGTAAACTTTTAAATTCAGCTTTACGTGTGTACATGTTTTATACCAAAGTCTCAGCTTATCAGCGTTTGCTTCTATTGCCAGCGAGACGCCCTTTCGTATATCGACATGTAAACAAAAGTATTTTCCTCAATAAAAACAATAAATTACTTTATACACTTTGTGTTAAAGAAAACAATTAACAAATCGGGGCATATTTTTGTCAGCGAGTATAGTCGTATATAAAAAAAAAAAGCTTCTTAAAAAAGTTTTCATTTTTTATGTCATCGGCTGTTGCCACGTCGTATGGTCAAACAATATACGCACATGCATTTATAAAGCATCGGCGGTGCTTAGACGTTTCAAGCTACGAGTATTCCCAATGCTGCGCAGTTTCTCTACAGCCAGTGTACCCTATCATCCTCGCTGTCGTTCACTCTAGTCGGCAAAGAGTCGGCATTTCTTCGCGAAGGGTGGTACAAAACAAGGTGCAAGCAGCTGGCGCAACTCAGTCTAGCCGTAATAATAGCAGTAGGAAAAAGTCGAGAACCTCCGCTGACCGCTTTTAGGAAACGCGATCATCAGCACCGACAAGCACCTCACGTCTTCCAGCACTACGTCGTGTTGGGCTGTTTCAAGCCGCGAGAGAAAGCTCGAACGCTAGGGAGAGCAAAGGGTCGAGAGCCTACGTCACGTACGTATCGCGCGTAACGCAGATGAATTTCGAGAAACGTATATATGCTACGAATGAGTGGGAGAAGTAAAAAACGCAGTTATGTTGTTGTTGCCGCTATGTGCAGTGTCGTAAGCCTGCATATGGTTTCGTAATGTATGACCGTGCCATAGCTACAGCGCGTGCAGTGCACGCATATACCGGCTACTTTTATTACTAGAATGATAGCTGTGGAGGTTTTTCGCTCTAGCGCTGTACTATGATGTACATAGATTTATCATTGTCGTTGGTGGGCACAAGAAAAAACCAACACAGAGGCTAGCGGTTAAGTCCCCGTAGAACCGTTCACAAACAGCATGTTGGTATAAATAGATGGTGGTACAGCGTAACTTTTCCATAGTGGCCATAACGCAGCAGCTTGTAGCTGCTAAACTTGAAGGACGACGACTTTAAAAGAAGGGTTAGTTTTTAAGACTCTTGCAGAAAATAGTCAGACATGTTAGAAGGGGTTGGATTTTACCTTTCAGGTATACCACGATAACTACTTGGAGTAAGGTTTAATAACACATATCCCGTATTGTACAAATTCTCACAAAAATATCTTTTCCGGTTATGTTCGAATCAAAATATTTGACTAGATATACGAAATCCGCGTTCCTTCAGAAAGTAAAGTAAGGATGCTTCTGTTACACGCCCTGTATATATGCCACTAGGTCAACACCGTTTTCAAAATGCTTTTTACGTCTTATAATACGATAACAACAACTACTACAAGGTCCTGGGCTTAAATCTCGATTTTTTCGTATGAGTCACTTCTAAGATTTCATCTACGCAGAAACAGATGTTTCAACAAAATATTTTGCATGCGCTAAAATCGTTATTCCTTCCATTATTATTAACCGTATTATAATGTAACCTTCATTATATTTTCGGAATATAAGCTATTCACTAGTTATTTTAAGAATATTCTTACGTTAGTAGTTTTGCAATAATGCTATTGGCAAAAATACCAAAGCTACAAGGGTTTGAACGGATAAAAAAATCTTAGCAGCTTTAAAAAGACTAACGGTTGGAGCCTATCTAGGCTACTGAATCAACGATAGATTGGGCTCTTTTCTAAAAACGGCTACCGATTTCTGTAGTAAAATTTTTTTTATGATTTTTTAGAAACACCATAGAAACTAGTAGTAATTATCAGTAGACTGTCGATTTCAGGCAAAAAAGACAAGTTGTTCACCTCGGTAAGGGAGCGTGAAAGGATTTAATAATAGCGGCCCTTCGCTCTAATTACGATGATGACGCACAGAAGTCCACCCATAGCTGCCAGCTGTGTTTGTACCCCTTGGAGCGAGCTTTCTTCCGGTGCTCCTGCTTTCGAATAAATACATTCGTCAAACGGGGGGCGACTCCTTGAATGGAGCCAGTTTAAGCCCAAGAACAAATGACACTCAACCTCCAGACAACGAATAAATTAAAATTTATTCATCATATTTTTTCTGGTGGCAGCTACCCAAAGAAAAAATACACCCTGTCTACTACAATTGCAGAACAACTCAACAGCAATTTAGCATTAACAATTGCTTTTTAATTCCTTAAATTCAACAAAGAAAATAATAATAGGAATAGTAACACGAAATCATAAGAGGATGGCTCAGCAGTGTCCACTTCATTCGTACTAGTTCGAATAAGCATTTTTAAGATTATAGTGGAAAATGATACTTACCAACGATATGATTTCCGCCAAGATTAAGAATACGGAGCTGTTTCATGCGGAAGATAACCCACGGCACGGACATAAGATCGTTGCTAGAAACGTCTAAAAACTCGAGGTGAGGAAGTTCAGAGAGCTCATCGGGTAAACTTGCCAACCTGGTCGTTACAAAACATTAAATATGAGTAGACCTCTAGTTTCAATGGAGTGCTATATAACAAGTATGATTTCGTCGTGCAACAAAGACTGGCAGAAGCATTTAGGATGCATGTGCCTATTTGCTAATGAGCGACCTAAAATCTATATAAATATTTGCGAGATTTAACGCGTAGTTTCGGTTACATCAGGGCCAAAGCTGAGCTCATAATGGCATACTGAGCGAATTGATTATCCCTGGAAGCGATCGCACACATGCATAAAAAGGAACACTCAAAAAAGTGCCGTTTCATATTTAGTCTCGCTCAATATAATAAAGGCTTGGCTTGAGCCGGATGAACCATCATGCACAGGCCATCCGTTCTTATATTGACATCCTACATTAGAAGGACTTACCTATTGTGCGCCAGGTTAAGATGTGTAATTTCGCTGAATTTGCGCGCCAGCTTCGGAGGAATTTTGCGTAGAACATTTTCAGAGAGGTTGCAGTGAAGAACGACGGTATGTCTAAGCAGGTGGTAGACTGCATCAGGGAAAGACATCAGTGAGCAGTCCGACAAGTCTGATGTAAACCAAATAAACGGGCAAGCTTAAATATGGATTTTGTTATATTTTACGTTTAAACTTGATTATATCTTGTACATTTACCTGTGGCCGCGTGTTAACTAAAATATTCAGTTAAGTGAATGGAATTCAAGCTTGACTGTCTTTACGTGTCAAGTGAAGCACATATGCACTACTAAAATCGGCGTTTTTTTTTGCGTTTCAGTATTTGACTGTTGCATAGAAGTTATGCAGGAACAAAATCTAATCCTTATATTTTTGAACATATCACTTTTATGTGTAGAGAGGTAACTGTTGAAATCTTTTCTGTCAGTCTTATTGCCTGTAGCATTATCAACCTGCATATGAGTAGAAGAACGTGCTTGCTCACCAAGCTTTTGATTTTCTGCCGCATTAGAACATCTATGTACAACTTTAACTACGCCCCTTCCAGCCACGCCAACAACGTCATCAGGACGACGTTGCGTAATCAGCATCCCGCAGCTCATCTTGGCCTGTGTCCCTCTCACTGATTTCCGACTGTTCGAACAATTCCCGATACTCTGATACCGAAAAGTCACCAAAGCTGGATAAACTTTTTGGACCACTGTACACTTTCAGATAAGACGAGTTGAAGGAACTTGTATTGTCCTGGCTGATTGCAACGAGGTTTGCGCGTTTAGATGCGCAGAATACGTTCGGAATTCCTTGAAGCGATAACTTTTGTTAAAACCCCGTTTTTGTCGGATTATTGTTGCTAGTTTCACACGCTAGCTCGGGTGAGTAACTACAAGAAACTACTAGTCATTGATTGTCAAATAGAGTCAAACACAGTTTTCGCTCGGCTCGTTTGCTTCTTTCCAATGCGCTCAACGTAGTTGTGGCTGAGCGCCGCGAGTTGCGACAGTGGCCTGCAAAAGAAGTAAGGAAGATCTTTGATTCAACAGTAGCAGTGCTAGAAGGTAAAGAGCCCGACTGGTGAGTAGCGTGACCAGCAAGTTTGGTCTGCGTGATCGGATACCAGTGGTGGCGTTAGTGGTGATAGTCGTTAGTGGAATAAGTCGGAGTGCAGGCCCCGGGTTATAAACCAGTCCTCCTTTCATTCAAACGGGTGAAACTACTCCCTCTCCAGAAAATAGCCCGGGTGTGCATGTGTCTTAGTGAACGTATGTGTATCTTTACGTGTGTTCACAACATAGCAAATGTTGAGTTCTACACCTTGGTCGAAGAGCGTGATAGCTCGTACAGGTAGGATGAGTAGCCTGCCGCAAAAGCTCAAGCTTCAGCGCACGAAACAGCTGCCGGGTTGGCTGTATGTTCAATAAAGTTTAGGAGTTGCTGGGCACGTTTATGCGTTGCGTTGTTGTTACGCCACTGCCGTCTGCTGCTATCGTTATTGGTGTCTCTGTTGTTGCATCATCACGCGACCACGCATCGCAGATCAGAGCACGGCGTAGCGGGATTACTTTCATTCTTTTTGATAACCATCTCCACTTATCGACCGACAAATGCAGACCTTTTAATGAGGAAACATTTTTTTTTGGTGACAACGCTATCCTTATGTATCGCCATAGGTTCTAACTTCTTTTTTTTTCTACAGTACAATTTTAGCGTCAGTGACCATAGAGCGTTTTCTAAGTTTAGCAACAATAAAATGACATCGCTTCAAATATTCAAGGATTTTTTTCTAAACGATGAATCTCACTGCGAGACTGTCATGTATTTATGCATGTTTGTGCTGCCGCTTCCAGTTCACGAATCTCACCATGAGACATAGATAGCGGTTAACACTCATAGGGTATAAGCAAATCGTATTAATCAGCTTTCTGGGTCTTGAATAGATGATCTCTTCAGAAGAATGTGTACAAAATAAAAATAGTTTTATTTACTTCTGGAATATTCTAAATTAATAATACAGCGCCTGCAGTTATCATGTTGAGCAATCGGCTAACAGGTAAATGCAGATATGGCCTTAGTACATAACGACACGGGTCTAGTCCACATTACCTACTTGACAGATGATTGACCAACGCCATTCATGAAAATCTGCTAGTAACGCTTTTGGTCCTTAGTAAGCAAACAAATGCTACGAAAATCAGTAGATTATTTTTAAAACTTTGTTCCTAGTGTCATTATAAGGTTGCTATTGTTTTTACTGAAAACTTGTCAAAAGTCATCTGTTGGAGAGTGCCTCATGACCTGCTGTTCTTGAGTTTCCTAGGCACTACTGCGGTGGCTGCGAGGTGAGCGTGCGCTACTGTGCATGCATATGATTGCACCTAGTAAGTATTACTGCAAACCGAAAAAAACCGTATTAAAAGGCTTGCCGGGGGCCACTGCTGCAAAATAAACAAATTCATTATAATTTTCGCTCCACACGTCTCGAAACCAAAATCTTTTTGTCAAACATAATAGCAAGCTCGAAAAGAACAAGCTAGAAAAACATTTAAGGGAAGTAGCACCAGACTAATCATTAGAGGAATCAAAGATTAGTTTGGAAGCTTTTCGTTTTTCTAGTCGTTGAAATTAAAGGAAACCATCGAAGTGTTAACTACAATTGAAATTGATGATTACGGTTTAGGTTTTCCAAGATTTTACCTCGGGCGCTTTCATTCAGCGTAAAGTAATTCTGACTTGGCTTCTAGCAGTCCTCAACATGACATGCATGGCCTATACAAGAAAACATATGCTACTTTTCCAGCAAAAATGTCTTTCAAATACAATTTAACCCCAAATGACCCCAAAAAAAAATTTAACCCCCCAAGCCTATAAAGTCGTACAAAAGATACATAAACCCTTGTATATTTAAAAATTCGTAATTATACCCACCCATGGAAAAAATTGATTCCAATAATAATAGACCAATGGCCAGTACGTTTATTGCATGAATTACTTTTCAAAAGCAGTCTGTTGGTCATACCTTTGGGTACCTAGCATTTCATAAATTGCTGGAGCAACCACGGTCCTACCGAAGGCAAGTGAACATCTACGCAGTTAGCTGATGTAGTCCTAGCTGAATAGTCAAACCTAGCTTATTCGTGCAAACGATGAGGAATCTATCGGGTGTATATATCTGAATCTGATTAGGACCTTTGACAGAGTAACTCATCTGAGACATTTAATCTTTTAATTTAAACTTTAAAACTGATTAGATATCAGACCTATTATTAGCGCTCCCTTTCCATGCAAGTCAACCACAAGTACGAAGTAGGTGTTTCCAGATGCCCTGCAGGGTTGTGCTTTAAGATTTATTTTATTTAATACTTTATTACAGGCGAAAAGAAGTAAATCCCTGTCAGTTAGTCATAAACTATACGTAGATGACGTGTAGTAATACGCTTTTTTGGAATCATTTAAGACGACGGCGAGTTGTAAAGAGCAATAGTGCATTTAACCTAAAATGGTGTAATATAGATGGCGGCTAGTATCCGTCCCCAAATGCTTTGCGCTTTGCCTTAAGATGTAGCCTTCATTCATTCATTAACAATGAGCAAATTTCAGTTTTCGACTTCATTGTAGATCTTGGCGTCACGGTAAGACCAAAACTTAATTGGGGTCGTGCAATCATTCAATTAGATGGTAGTCTGTGAAGCGCGATTTCGATGTCCTACAATGAAGGTCTAAGGAGGATTTGCAAGGACCTAGTTATAGAAATGTTGAACCTGCATCTAGTCATAAGAGTATATAAGGCGAGAATAACGTTACAATATTGATTTAATTCAAAACCACAATAAAGCGACTTCTCAAGCCGCTACATTAGTCGTTCGCTGAGGTACTTTTGTGAAATGTGGTTATTGTACTCCTTAAAGAATATAGTGGAACAATAGAGCACGTACGGTGTGAATGTTTGAAATGCCAATTTCTTTGCGTGCGGGGTCGAGCGTAGTGCGATAAATCCAATCTTTTTTTAGCAGTTCTTAAAAATCTGAAAGATTATGCTAAATCACGCACATGTTCAAAGTATTTAAATATTTAATCGTAGTATTACATGTTAATTTTAAACGGCCAAACAATGTCTACTGCGGCCACCATAGTGAAATCAAAGAAGATAAGTAGCACATTTTTTGTATGCAGGTTAGGTCGGCTTGTGTCGAGTGAAGCACTACTCGTTTCCCAGCTTCAGTTAGGTCGCAGTTACGGGTCTCAAGATTGACTTTCTCGTATGAATAACGTTTTCACGCTGCTACTGCTTGTCCGAATCGAGCAGGTACGCGCATAATCGAGTAAGGAATAAAAAACTAATTTGCATCGACGAGTTTAACGTAAGACGTTGACTTTCATCCTTCAAATTGTCTCGTATTTTCTGTCTAGCCATCTATAAAGCTGTCGAGCCAAAAACAAAAGGAATATTGTAAATCTATTTTTGCTGTTAAATAATTCCTATTCGACCTATTCTGTTATGCGATACGGGAGGTACAGTAGAAATACCTATCAGCATGCGGGTATCCAATATTCAACTGATGGTGCTTAGTTTCCTGTAGCTGTATTAGTGAAGTCCTTGTGTAGACTTTTGTTTCTGCATAGCTTCGAATCAAAATTGGATTTCAGGTTTTCTATTCTTTTGGTAAGGATGAGCTGGCGGGTGACCTCCGTGAATAAAAGAGCCTGGGTCAAGTATTTAGCGCCGGACAATCGCCAGAAGAAATTCATCACCGCGATTTCGGCACTTTCCGCATTACCTTGAGATCAACCGGTTGCTTACGCAACAAAACGAAAACACGGGCAGAAAGTAGAAACACTGGTATAGATCTAGAGGTTAGAAACCGAGGTAGAATTTGGCGATTCAACCTGAAATAACAAAACGATCATAGTCGTTATTGTATTGTCGTAGTAATTATGTCCTAAATGGGTCGGGAACACATTGAGAGTTAATATAATTTTAGTAATGCCTCAAATTAAAAATTAAATACCAATCCTTACCCCCAACCACTTCCCTACCACCGCGCCATTGTGTTTTATAGTATGTGGTGCGCCCTTTTAGCAAAGGTTGGTGCATCTAACATTTTACTAAACCAGTCTTAGGCAAACTGTCTTCAGACAGGCGGTTGTGAAGCCTTCAATTCGAAAAATAAGTCTCATCATCAACATGATGGTGATGCTTCATCTTCGTTTCGCCAGTACTGCGCGACAGCGAGTTGCAAGCTTGCGTTTAGCCAACAACTTTGGCCTTCTCTTCTCTTTTCTTGCTTTAAAATATCGCTTCCCAGTTGCTTACGTAACGACCGATCAGACGAGCCAGGACAGTTGCGCGTTGGTAACGTTGACTCAACGGGGGAGAGAGTGAGAGAGAAATAACGCACCAAAGCAGGGGATGGTAATTGGCAATAGAGCGATAGTTAATATGTATGTATGCATGCATGCATGCGTGCACACGAGCGTGTTTGTACAGCTCGAAATGTGCAGCAGTCGATAATGGTACAACAGCGATGTTACGATCGTTGTGAGCTGTACGCTGGCGATAGCGAAGACTCCGCAGTTTGATTTAGCTGCTCTGTCGTAGTCTATTGTACGGGCTTATTGCACAGCTCACCCTAATCGTTAAGCAAACTATCTCCTTTCGTTATTTCGAATGTTATCTGTTTTTGTAATAGTCACTGATCGCTACCGACTAGGAAAGTGACAATTTGTGTATAAACCGATCGTGCGCTAGTGGCACCGGGACAGTTTTCTAGTTCAATTCTTTTATTTTCCCTTAAAAATGTATTCATATTTATATTTATAAAATTATTAAAGCAACTTCCTTCGTTTGTGGACAAACTGTTGTTTCTCTAACGTGCTTATTGATTGAAAGATGATCAAGCTGATGTTGTGATAGCGTTGAACAACAAACCTCTAAAGTTGATTGCTATGTTGTTTAAAGTCTGAAAGTGTCTAACAGGTCATTTGAGCACTTGTGCTTCATGTTTGAGCAGCGAGATCGGCATCTCAGTGGAGTTTCTGCACGCTGTCCAGCTTTAAAGTGCAACTCAACCAGACCATGTAATAGTATTGATTCAACTTCCAGTAAGAAAGCGGAGGATACTAAAAAGT